TATAAAAGAGTATGACATGAAGGAAAAGACTACAAACAAAACTCACACTTAACCCACCATAAGAAATGCTTTAATGTTAACTATACTGGAATTAAATTAAAAAAAAAAAAAGGGTCATGGTAAGCAGTCTGCATAGATGGCCCCAGTGGACCACATCTCCTGATATTTGTGCTTTTGTGTAGCCCTATTGAATCTCGATTGGTTTCTGACTTACTTTATCCAATAGAAATGCAAAAGAAGTGATGTTCTGGACTTCTGAGTCTAGGCATTAAGGTCTAGAAGCTTATGATTTTTTTACATTTTTGGAGTTCTGTAGAGGTTATACACACTCTTGGAGGCTACAAAAGCCCTTACATACCACCCATAAAGGGGTATTTGATATACCAAGGTGTTTAATAAAGGATTAATCTTACCCAAAGAAAGGTTTGGCCCTTTGGCTTGGCTCCTGGGAGATAATCTTATAAGTCCTTAGAATGTCCTTCCTGTGGGGTGCCTGGGTGGCGCAGTCAGTTGAGTGTTTGACTTCAGTTCAGGTCATGATCTCACAGTTCGTGAGTTTGAGCTCCACGTCAGGCTCTGTGCTGACAGCTCAGAGCCTGGAGCCTGCTTCGGATTCTGTGTCTCCCTCTCTCTCTGCTCCTCCCCTGCTCACACGCTGTCTCTCTCTCTCTCAAAAATAAATACAGATTTTTAAAAATTAAAAAAAAAAAAGAATGTCCTACCTGATAAGAGTTAGTCATCTAGAAGTGCCTCTAATGATTTCCTGAACCCCACGGTAATCTTGGGGACATCCTGAATTCATACTAGCTTTCTCCAGTCCAAGTCTCATAAGCGATTTCTACTATATTCTATTATATATGTTTCCTGATGTAGTCATGTTACAAATACATACTTATCTCAGGGCATTATCCAGGGCTGAAAAGTGGCCAGGAGGTTGTTTGAATGAGCAGGGGTAGAGCCAGGCTTACTAATGTGGCCACTGACTTCCATTGTTTTAGTTCAGAAAAAAGCCATTCTCTTTTCTGGGTTCTCTCCTTTTGGAACTCTTAATAGACAAATGTGAGAACTTCTTGATCTACTGTCCACATTTTCCTCTACATTCTAAATAATTTCTACATTCTAAATAATTTCTTCTGGTTTCCCTTGCAGTTTACTAAGTCTCTCTTCAGCTTTATCTAATATGCCATAAACCCATCTACTGAGTTTTTTATTTCAACAGTTACTTCCTCCTGGTGTTGTTTAACTCGTTCCTCTATCTGTTGTATTCACTGTAAAATGGGTGGTTAGATCTACAATACTGATTAGATTCAGATTACTTTTTACACATTATATTTCATAATCAGTGCTATATGCTTTCTTTCCTTTTACATCAAAAGATGTGTAATGTCTAATTGACTCATTTTTACTGATGATAAAATTAATTGATGGTTCAGGTAGTATTAGCCTTCTCTTTTTATTACAAAGTTCCACATTAATCTTTCAATGATTTTGTTAACATTGTTGATATTATTCATTATCCATTAGTTGTTGCAAAAAATGTTTTCCAATTCTGTCATTCCTTATGTATCAATTATTAGGTCATTCTGAAATGCACTGAAATCTGAAATCATATTTCATGATATATTGATTTCTTGTGTTTTTCGAATTATTGACTTGGTGCCCTAGGACTCTCCAAAAGCAACCAGAGGATTTATTTTTAAGTACCATTATGAACTCACAGATTTTTATATGTCTTATGATTTTCAATCCATTGCATTTATAATTCTTTTTAGCCTCACATAATCTCATATTAGTTCAGTGAATACTCCTTCAGGTTGGCTTTTGACCTGACCTAATTCATCTTTAATAGTTTCCTTGATTTCTGACACAACATGTCCCAAGTTTAACTCATACAGTTCTGCTCCAGATGTGAAGTCAGTCATTTTTCAAGGACCCTTGGTTTCTTTCAGGGAATGTGCTTGGTACTGACTGCTCCTAGGTTTGTAGGCTCTCTAAGAAAGACATTTTTTGAGAAAAATAAATCATGACTTCATACAATATTTCCAAATCGAATTTAAGACTACAAGGGTTGGGGTGCCTGAGTGGCTCAGTTGGTTGGGTGTACGACTCTTGGTTTTGGCTCAGGTCATGAACTCACAGTTCGTGAGTTCGAGCCCCACGCCAGGCTCTGCAGTGATAGTGTGGAGCCTGCTTGGGATTCTCTGTCTCCCTCTCTTTGCCCCTGTCCTGCTTGCTCTCTTCTCTCTCTAAAAATAAATAAATAAAATTTTTTAAAAAGACTGAAAGGCTTTTATTTTGCTTCTATGATTTTATTATGTTCTGAATTGTGCCCCCCACCATGTATGTATGTTGAAGCCCTAACTCCCAATGTGATGGTATTTGAAGGCAAGACCTTTAGGAGGTATTTAAGATTAAATGAGGTCATAAAAGGGTGGGGCCCCAATCCAATGAGATTAGTGTTCTTGTAGAAGAAAAAGAATACACTCTCTCTCGCTGTGCACACATACACAGAGGAAAGGCTATGTGAGGACATAGCAAGAAAGTGATCATCTGCAAGCCAGGAGA